GTGAGGGCAGGGTGGTTGTTTGGTACTTACATGGAGTAGGATTTTGGTTAGGTGTGGGATGGATTCAAAGCAAGTATGCAGCAGAAGCGGGCATGGAACAATGAATGGGTGCACGGATGTCTCATTGTGTCGTGTTGACATGGATGGAACACACACGTGTGGGCGACATGGATAATAAAAGTGGGTGGCTCTACACTCTACACAACTCTCTCTCATCGACATGGCATAGCAAGACAAGACACCCCTCCCTCCCGTGTGCGTGTGCATTCATGTGTGTGCCGTGTCCGACTCAACTCATGGCCGAACACTCCACCTATGTGGGATGGAGTATTCCCGCATGCGTCAACTGAACCAGACCACACCACATGTGCACACCCCCCAAACTCTCAGACAGTCAGTCAGACGGTCAGAAGTACATGTACCGCAACACTCCACTTCCACACACACACACAGCCACACACGCACACCGGTACGCATCACGCACAGTATGCATGCACCATGCCATTCACACAACGAAGGCACCCGTCCGCCCCGTCTCGACGGGCAAAACACCCACAGAAAACTCGCGAATTCCACTCCATCTTGCCCAGTCATTCTCTGAGCGATGATGCGTGGCAGCTGATGATCCTCTGAGGTGACGGCGCCGTCGAGGAAGCGTTGCTGCCGCTCAACGGGGTCGTGACCCTTGAGATCATGAGCTGGCCAGACATCATCGCACGGTTGGTTTCTCTCACTTGCACTCCCGCTTCATGAAGTGTGAGCTCCCTCAAAAATCCACCACCGAGCTGGCACTGATCGATAAAAGACAATCATGTGTGTGCATGGGTGGCTGGGTGTGTGCTATACAGGCAGGGTAGGTGGATGTGGTGGGTGGGTGGCGAGGACAGCGAGGGCATACATCAATCAAGGTCCATGAGCAAAACGACACACATCCCATCCCACCCCATCCCGAGCCGCCCTCGTGAGGTGCGAGCGAATTGAATGTCCTCACACCCACAAGGCACACACCAGAATGATTCAAAAGCTCTCACGGAAGAGTGTGTTGTGGATGGATGGATGGATGGATACGCACGCCCACCGGCATGGATGTGTGTGTATCACTGCGTGTGATGTGTGTGAGAGCAGCGGCTCGCGTAGAGGAGGGGAGCGAGGTAGAAGGCAGCAAGAGACGCCACACGACCCATCGATCCACATGCACACATGAGAACTAGGCGCCACACATGATAACATGGATATCGACAAGCTGCTTGACCACACACACACAGCCATCCCAAAAAGCCAAAATTTCCTTTGAGCGTTACCATCCATCCCATCCATCGAGGCAGGCAATAATCGTGAAGAAATCAGAACAAAAAAGCCCCACACTCACCCCCCACACAGGCATTTCCCCCTCACACACGCACAAGCCCACACGCACACGCACGATGTCCTCATTCATCATACGTGGATGAATTCGGCTTCACTTCTCTCTCTCTCATCCGCCGCTGACGAGTCTGGCCCTGAGTGCGGCCCCGTCACATGCCGCGGCGGTGGTCTTGTTGGCCTTGGAAGCTTGCGCCATGTTGTCCTGCTTGAGGTGGTCGATGCTCTTGTGGAACTGAGTGCCCTCCAACTTGTCCACATACAGACAGGTGCGGGCCGTCACAAACAGCGCCTGCAGGACACACATGACAAGACAACGACACACACGTGGTGTGATGTGCTTTACCTCTGGTATCTCTCTGTCTCTGCGTGAAGGTGTGTGGTCCACGCACCTCCCAGATGGGCGTGGGGTCGTATCTGTGCAGCGGCCCCAGCACCTTCTTGAGCGCCTCTGTCGCCTCCTTGGCGTGATAAAAGGGAATCCTACAATGAATGCACAGACAGACAGAAAGACACAGCCTCACTCCACAGACGCTCATGTTGTTGTCCATGTCGCTTTAGGTGTGTTTACATACTTGGCATCGACGTGGTGCAGGACGTGTGTGCTGCCGATGTAGTGGTGCAGTTCATCCACCACCCAGGGGTAGGGACGGTCGATCGTAGACAGAGCGCCCCGCAGCCACGTGAACGCATCGTCGCCATAGTGGGGGCAATCTGCACACACACACCACACGTACAGAAGCAAGGAACCGATAGAGAAACATTCTTTCCTTGTGGATGTCTGTAGGTTTCTCCCTCCCTCGTACCAGGGTGTGTGTGCTGCAGCCATGTGATGAGCACCAGCCATGCGTTGACGACGAGGTACGGACCCACATACCACTGAAGCGGCAACCACCTGCACATACAGACAGACACATCCACCCACACCACAAGTTGCCATCAGTCTCAGTCCATCGACCAGCCAGCCCTTAGCTCCCTGCCTCCCTCCCTGACCATGACGTCATGGCCCCCCAGATGACATTGGCGGCGATGACGGCCCCGCAGCCCAGCCCCGATGCCGTCACCTTCCATCTGAAGTGCGGCGGGAACCTCTCGTTGTCGGGACCGTAAAAATGGCTGACCGGCCCATTAGCGGCGTCGAGGGGTTCGCCCCTGTAGTTGACGCGGCCGCCACCGACGGTCGACGTGAGGTACATGGGGTAGCCCATGAGGAAATACAACACGATCTCGACGATGGCAAACGCATCCTCTCCAATCAAGTCACTGCCGTACAGAGGGAGGGAAAGAATGGACAACCGTGTAATGAGAGAGAATGTGAGCTTGTCTGTCAGCTCAGCTTACGCCATCTTGGTGAGTTGGAAGGTGCTGTTTGGCGAGTGGACCTCCTCCTTGAGCTCGGGTGTGTAGGAGTCGCCGCGTGTCATGTGGTTGGTGAACTTGTGGTGCTTGGCGTGTGTGTACTGCCAGCTCCAGTAGGGCACCAGCAGACAGCTGTGGGCAATGAACCCCACGGTGTCGTTGATGGCCGTCGACTCCGAGAAGGCTCCATGACCACACTCGTGCGCAATGATCCAAGGACCGAACGCTATCGTGCCCTAATGGCATCAACCAACGTCATCAGCAGGCATCATGGTGCGGTGAGCTGTGTGATGGTCTGTGTGCCCTGCCCGGCTCACTTGCACGATGGCGTATGTGGTCCAAGCGAGTGTCCTCAGCAGCCAGTTGTGGCCGCACACCAGGGGGACGAGGTGGTACGTCAGCCATGCCGTCACCGCCAGGAAGAGCACATCGCGACTCAGGTACAACTGCACCCCACCCCTCCACACACACCGTGTCATGACGGCTGCAGTAGCTAGTATTTCCGCTCACTGACCAGTCCAGTGACGGCAGATCTCTTGCGGCAGTGTGGGGGGATGGCGTCATAGATCTCCTTCACCGTGGGCACCTGGCAACACACACGCAGGTAGGTATGTGCACTGACTGATGACGCCCCTCCCACTCAGCTCTGCTCGTCTCTGCATCGCACCCACCTTTGGCAGGTCCTCTTTGGCGTCCACCAGGTCGAGCGGGGAGGCCACAGCGTCCACATAGCTGCTGTCGCTCCTGCACACACCAAAGCACAAAAACAAGATGTCTGCTGCCTTGCTGACTGCCCCAGAGCCACTGCTGCTCACCTGACAGGCCGAGTGACGACGCGCTCGTGGATCCTGAGGCTGTCAGACAGCTCAGATCTTCCGCTGGCAGGGCCGTCAGACAGCTCAGGGGGAGGCGACATGGCGGCGCGCAGCTGCGTGTGCTGTCAGGCCTGCCTGTGCTCTCTGTCTCCTCTTTGCCTTCGCCCGAAATTAGCTCGCACCGCAATCTTAGCTCGCACTTTTTTTTCCGTCGAGTTTTTCCTATTCCTGCGAAAAGAGGAGGATGCTCATCGTCGTGTCAGGATCCAGGCGTAACGATTTTTGACGTCATGTTCCCCAGATCCAGCCTCTTTCACTATTCCCCGTTTGCAACACCACAGATATCGATGCCCACCAGTATTCCCGTGCCGGTCGGCCGCGAGTGGCATGACATCAAGCAGGTGCTCTCAAAGATCACAGGCGGCGTGAGAGACCCCCTGCAGCTCATGGTCGTGCTCAAGGAGGTCCAGCTGTGCAAGCGAGCGGTGTCGGGATCCCCTCATTCATTCAGTGGCGTTCCGCTGCTCTTCAAAGGCATTCCACCCGACGTCACAGCGCACTTCCTCAACCACACCCTGCCCATTATGGCCAGCGAGCTGATCCGCAGCAACCTCTCGGCAGGAGATTTGCCACACTACATCAGCCCCGCGTCGCAGCACAGGGCTGTGGCGCTCACGGCCCATCAGGTCTTCCTGCTGCTGTCGGCGGCCTTCTTTGGCATGTATGGGCCCACCCCCTTCGACACATGCAGCCGCGACATCAGCGGAGCGTCCATCAACTTCGGGCCGCTGTTCGACTCGGTGCACAAGTCCACGGCAGCGGCCAAGCTCCACTGCTTCATCCTCTACTTCATCGCCATGGCCGCCGCCGTCGAGAGATCAGATGAGCGACAGCTGCGGCGCAACATCATCTTCAAGAGGCTGGACGGCGGGCGGCATGCCACAGCCGATCAGTGGGCACAGTCGACAGCCCGTCTGCTGCCCGTGAGGGTGATGGGATGTGCCGACCGCATAGAGTGTTCGCCGGGCCTGCAGGCCGACTTCGCCAACAGAGTGCTCGGCGGGGGAGTACTCGCATCAGGTGCACAACAGACACACACACAGAGGGAGGGAGGAAGGTCGTGCAGGCAATGGCCATCTCTGTGTGTGTGTGTGTGTGTGTGTGCAGGGAGTGTTCAGGAGGAGATTCGCTTTGCCATATCGCCCGAGCTGCTCGTCGCACGGCTTATCATCCCGCCACTCAACGACACCGACGCCGCCGTCATCACTGGGACCAAACAATTCGCTTTTTATTCCGGGTAAGGATACCACACAGACACTCCTCCCTGTCCACCTGTTGATTTAATTCAGGTACGGTCGGTCATTCTGTTGTGTGGGTGCGTGTGGGAGCGAGCGGCAGAGTGCTGTGGTGGCACTCGATGCCATCGACTTCAGAGGCCGCTCCCCGTGGACACAATACTCGGTGGCCTCGCTGCTCCGAGAGACCAACAAGGCCTTCTCGGCTGTGAGCGAGCTCGAATTGAAGAGCCTGCCATTCGCGACAGGTGAGTGGCATGGCCATGCCTCTCCTTTGGGTGATTGGTTTGTTGCTCGGCTGATTTGTGTCAGGGAATTGGGGCTGCGGTGTCTTTGGCGGCGATCCGCAGCTGAAGGCCCTCATCCAGTGGATGGCATCCAGCCAGGCAGGGGTGCTCATGCACTACTACCCCTTCGATGACAAGCGCATCAACGGCCTGGCCGTCGTGTGCCGTCTCATAGTGGCGGCGGGGTGGAGTGTGGGCGACCTCTGGCGGTTCATCAGCCGCGATGAGGACAACCTCCACCGATACGGCGTCTTCAAGTGCATCATGTACCACCTCCAGCACCATATGCAGGTGACTCTCTCTGTCTGCCTGTCTGGCAAGCACCGACCCAAGCTTTGGCGTGTGAATGTGTCCTTTCAGAGTTTGAGTCATGGTGTCGGTGTGCATGATCGTCGTCGCGTGGGGGCTGCATCGCACTATGGTGCTCTGCCATCATCCCTGGCACCCAATGACAGCTCCGTCACCAAGTGTAGTACCGCGACGGCCTTCGACAGAGACATGGAGAGGACGGTGGACCAGTGCAAACAAGAGGTGAGTCGGCAGGACACCGAGACACGTGGATGTCATCGATTCGATGCCGTGAAATGTGTGAGTCATTCAGATGAGCGGTGCGGGTGCTGAGACACGTGAGCAGCCAGAGGATCATGACGATGAGGAGGAGGAACTGATCTCTGGCTTCGACTGAGTGAGCTTGCTGCCTTTTTGACATATATAGATCGACCCATTAGACTTTTTTGCATCCATAGTTTATCGTTTGGGCCCAAACAAACTTCGTCTCAAAGCCCAATGCCGTAGACACTCACTATCGTCGGCACAGCACACAGCACAGCACAGCACAGCATAGCACACATCCGCACAATGGAAACGTCTTCAGAAGCGAATCTACTTAGGCCGACAACTCGGCACCATCCTGTTCGGCCGTGCCGAAAGTGAATCCGTTGGCTGCGGTGGATGGCAGCAGTACATCCTTGACGAACATGGCCTCGACCATGGACCTGCTCATGGGTGGGGAAGGTAGGCTGACGGGCGAGGCAGCCATGGAGCTGTTGTTGTTGGTATCCAAATTGTCGCTCCTGCCCGTCTCGTCCTCTTCGCTCTTGCCGGCCTGCGACGGGGTTGCCGAGGGAGGCGTGGGCGGGATGAGGCTGTCCCGCACGATGCCAGTGGTGATGCGGTCACCCAGGGAAGGCACGGACAGCAGGTCCTTGGCCTCACTGATTGACCCCCTCGGATCCCGCATGACCTCTCCCTGGGGCTCTTCTATTTGTCCATCGGCCGCGTCTCGCAGCAGAGGTGGCTCGGGGCTTTCGTGTCTCGGTGCGGCATCGATTATCACAGTGGGGGTGACCTCCTTGTCTTCGGGGCCACCGTCATCGTCTGCTGAAGGTTCCTCCTCGTGGATTGTCTGCGGGAGACGGAAGCCTTCAGTGCCTGACACCGGTGACACCGCAGTGGAGTGCCACAGATGTCGGTGTGCTGTCCGTCCATGATTTGCTCACCGCCGTCATCCTGTGGCGAGCCATCAGCCGAGCCATCGATGTTGTTTTCAAACGTCACTGATCTGCCTCGTCTTGATGCAAACTGCTGCCGCAGTGACTGTATGTATGGATGCATACATACATACATACATACACAGATGACACAGGAACATGCACCAGACAATCGCCTCACACCCCCCCGGCCGTCTGTGCCGTGTCTCACTCACCCCTGCAGGTGCAGTAGTGGCCAGTTGCTGCCGTGTGTCGGCCGCCTTCTCAGCACCGCCACCCTCCATCTCCATCTGAATAAAACCATACATGGGTGGCACAAGCAGAATAGACATACCTGTACATCCATGGCGACCGAGTTGCCGTCTCACCCACCCACCTCAGCGCCGTGCCGCTGCTCGTCACGGTGTTGTTCCGATGGCATCATGGTGATGGGGTGGTCCATGGGCTGCGTCAGCCGCGAGAAGCTGCGTGTCCCTGCGAGGTTCTTCAAGACCCCAGGCCGCCGACCCGCCAGCTGATTGAGCATGGATGAATTCCTCCTGTCATATTCGACGATGGAGAACGGGCTGAGGGAGCCCGGCTCATGGCGGGGCAGGTCGCGGCTCCGCGTGCTGCTGCTGGCCGTGCGAAGCTTGGGGCTGCGGCCAATGGCCTTGGCCTCCTTCAGAAACGAGAAGTTCTCAAACAGTGCGAACTCTTTGATGATCGAGCCGAGGGACGTGACGAGCACATTCGGGAAGCGGCTGCTAAGGAACTTGTTGAGCTGCACGATGTCTGCTGTTGGCGTCGTGCAGAGCAGGATGGGCACCCGCACCCCGATGGACGTCAGCCACTGGACGATCTGGATGCCGGGGAACTGCTGCGCCCCTCCCATGGCGTCTGCGTCCGCAGACTGCTCGGCCGACTGCATGAAGAAGTGGGACGTCGACACCTCTGACGGCCGGCCGCCGGTGGATGTGAGTTGGGTGCTCTTGCGGCTGATGATTTGGGATGGCCGCTCCGGAACCTTTAGGACTCGGCGCTTGTCGTCTGTAGTGTGGCTGCTGGGAGTGCCCGTGTGTGCCGGGGCTGGGGGCGGTGCACCGGCTGTTGCAGCGGGTGGAGCGCCCGTAAGATCAGTGATGATGCGGAATGTCTGTGAGGCCTTGCTGGAGAAGAGGGCCGGTCTCAAGCGGTAGACATGCTGGATAAACACCTGGCCCTCGGCTATGGAGTCTATCGTCACAATCTGCATGGACGGACAAAGGGAGACACGCAGGCAGGCATGGACCAGTGACGGTGTAAGTGTGTCTCAGTGAGTCACAGCCACAAACAAACCTGTGTGCCGTCGGCCCTGGCCTCGTCATGTATGTCTGCGTAGCGCTTGTTGTGGCAGCACCACCATAGCAGCATTCGCTGCATCACACAAACACTGCCCCGCCTTTCCAGGCTATGACTGACTGACTCACTCACTTTTGTGTGTGCGGCCTCCTCGGGCGCCTTGTCGATGCTGACTTCAAAGCTCTTGACCAGGCCGTCGATCTTGTTATGCAGAGAGAACACCAAGCCCCACAGCTGAATCTCGAACGGGCTCTTGACGTTGGACTCCAGGCTCACACCGCGCGAGAACAGATAGGTCGTCATGGCTATCATGAAGGCACCCACCAGTAACGCGCCCAAACTTATCAGCAGAAACAGCACAAATCCTGCAGCAAACATACAACCCATTCAACCGGAGAGAGACACCTCACTGTCGCCGAAAGTGCGTGGGCTGACCTCCGAAAAGGTTCTCGTTGAGCAGGGGCCCAGTGGGGAAAATGGATATGCTGAGTTTGAGCATCGCCAGGATGCTGACACCCAGGCCCCTGAACTCCTCCACTCTGCTGCCATACAGCTGCACACACAAGACACAGTACGTACGTGTGTGTGTGTGTGTGTGTGTAGTGCGAGGAGTGGCAGCCAGCATCCGTGTGGACGAACCGCGTTGATTGCGAATGCCCACGGTATCAGCATGCACATGAGGAGCAGGAAGAACAGCAGCACCCCAGGCAACATGCGGAAGAATACCTTGACTGCGTATTGGTCGGCAGGTGCATTCATGGAGACAGACGTGGGAAGATGGAAAAGCCTTACGGGGATGCCTCTCTTACCGAGCGACCTCATGTGTTCGGTGGCCTTAAGGCAAATTAGGTTCAGGCCAAAGATGATCTTGAAGGGCAGCAACAGGCACGCAAACGAATAAGCCTGCCGGCATCCATCCAAGAGCAATCAGACCCACAAGCAACCATCGACTGATTGATGTTGACCAGCTTTCCCGTTTCATGTAATGGCTGACACATACATACGTACATTTCTCTCGAGTCTTGCGGCGTCGCTGAGAGCTGAGAGGGAGACGAAGGACTGCGTGTCGTCTAAGTCGGCCTTGAGGAAGACATGAATGCTGCAATCGACCAGCAGACAACCATGGCACGAAACACGGTATTAATGGCTGAGTTGCATGTGGAAGCCCCCGTTGCGTACGCAATGAATCTGCATGTGATGGCATAGACGATGGTTCCGAGGAGGAGCAGCTCGCACAGATGGACATGCAGCCTCGCACGGAGATTCATCTCGAGAAGCAACTGCAATACGACGCGAAACGTCAACAGCAGAGGTAACACGAGAGACGCACACACCATCGGTTGCTCGATTGCCTCCTCACCTTGAGGAACATGAGTAGGACCACAACGAAAAAGAAACTGTCGATGCAGATGAACAGCCAGGCGAACTCCGTCTGCAGAGCATACGACTCGAGGGCGAACAGCGCCACGGCCTCAACATGAAAGGCCGTCTGCACTGACTGATCCGCAAACTTCTCTATCGCAAACCTGCAAGATCCATATACAATAGTCGACAAAACACAACAGCGAGCATACGCCGGTCGTTGCCACCTCGTGCACGTCTTGTCTTGTCTTGCCTGCCGATGACAAGTCTTCTTGTATGTTCGTCGACGAACGACATGTCGATGAGCACCAGCCTGGTGAAATCATCCAGCCACTGCTCCATTCTCAGCTGCTGCACCTTCTTCATCAGCTCAGAATATGGCTCCGCCAGCTCTATCACATAGGCGTGGTAAGGGTATCTTGTGCCCTTCCGGCCGACATAGGAAGTCGACGACAAGTCGCGAATCGATACAATCCGGTACTCCTCACACTTGGGTTCCGCGCAGTAGGGGCTAGGTGGCTCGGGGGGGGTCTCGGTAACGGTGCTCGGCGTGGACGCCCAGCCCCAACCAACGCCCGTTTTAGCCACCGCTGAAAAATCTCTGTCGTCGAAATTCTTATAATCGATGCACTTGTTTGGGGGTCGAGGGAAGCTGCCTACACCGCACACATAACACACCCGAGGCCACCGAGTAAGTGACGTCTCTTATGCAGCTGGCTGGTCGGCGGTGTGGCTCGACACACACACAACCCTCACCATTGGAGACGCCGCCCCTCTCTCGTCGATGCGTGTCGATGGATTCATCGAAATCAGGGCAGTCGCCCCGTCGAGGTGCGCGTGACCTCAATTGGGCGAGCCGAATGCCTCCCAGCGGCCGCAGCGATGTGGGGTATTTGCTGAAGTAACGATACAGCAGCGTCTCCTCCACCCAGCGCCAGAAGGGCGTCGTCGCTTGAGACACGATCTTCACGAAATCGTCGGTTTCCGCCTCAATCATTGCTGGTTGAGGCAGAGGAGGAACAACACAAATCCTGACCACATGCTGCCTCGTCTCACGCACCTTCCCGCGTCTGCATTGTGCTGAACGTGTCGGCATCATATAGCTGCAAGCGAAAAGGGAGAAGAATTCTGGACGTGTGAATGGGTGGGCAGATATGGCTGCGTGCATACGGACCTTGCGGATGGCTACGGTCGTCTGGTAGTCAAGCCCCGAATGCAGGTCTCGTGAGAAACCAAACATCCACTGAGGCAAGCAGGGGCGTCTCCTCCGTTCAGGTAGACTGGTGATTCTTTGCTTACGATGAAGAGTGCGACGTATGCGAAAACCAAAATCTTCTCCATGCGGCCATGCAGCAACCTGAACGCAGAGAAGCGAGAGTCTGTGGGAAACAACGGAGAGGGCCGCTCAATCTCGTACCCATAACGAAACCATACTGACAGGCGCCCAACAGAGGACAGGTTGACCCAATCGGCTGCGGACACCGCCATTTGCTTCGTGAACAGGCGTTGTGGCCCTGATGTTGGCTTCTTCGTGGCCGGAACGCCTTCGACCCTCCGATTTACATCTGCGAGCTTAGAGGTGAAGGGGCCGGAGAGGGATGAGAGCGTCATGAACACCACTCGTGTGAAGATCACGTGCGTCGGGCCTCCGCGGAGCGGCAAGTCGTTTATCTCCAATGTGTTGGCAGAGATCTGCGAGGCGCCTTCCTCACGCTACCGACCCACCGTAGGCGTTCGAATTGTCGAGGTGGAGAGAGAGAAAGTGACCTGTGAGCTCTGGGACGTGTCAGGAGATCAGAGGTCAGCACACATCTGCCTGGGTCATTCATCGCAATTGTCCTCATTCTCACTCTGCGTTGTGTTGCGGTGCGTTTTACATGTTCAGATACTCATCGTGTTGGCCAGCGATTCAGCAGGGCGTGTCTGGAGCACTTTTTGTGTACGACGCAGAGGTGCAGACAGCTGACCTCGAGACCTGGTAAAGGAACACACGGCACACCGCACACAGCATGACATGGAGCTGCTGCGTTGTCTGTCTGTCTGTCTGTCTGTCTGCAGGTACCATTCGTTCGCGACCTCTCTCGGCCTGACGCCCACCCAATGCATGGTGCGAAAGAGCCAGCCAAAGGAAGGGATCCATGTGACTTTCCTCTTGTCGCTCCGTTCAGCTGGTGTGCAACGTCAAGCGACCCGACATGGAGAGAACACCGCAGCCCCGTAAGTGGCAGAGCCGTGAGAAGCGATTAGAGTGAGAAGCGTCTGACTCCCCATGGGTGTCCCTCCATGCATCAGCGGGGAGATTTCACGCGCTGAAGGAGTGCGGCAACTTCTGTGTGGTGTCGGGCAGCACTCTCGCCGCCTTCCGAGAGGCATTCGGTGCCTTTCTCGACAAGGTAAGACCGGCGCTCACTACAAGTGGATTGATCAACACAGGTGATGGGTCTCCTTGGTGCCCGTGTTGTCAGGCGGTGGCCAGCCAGGAGGCCAAGGTGCGGTCTGAAGAGGAGGCACTGTTGAAGTGAATAGCCAGGGGAGAAGGCCTGTCTGCTTACTTGATGGCCTGACACTCTCTCTCTTGGTGCGACTGGTAGATAGCCCCAGGATTGATGTGAATAGTCTTCTTAGTTCAATGGATGGGGCTACTGATGGGTATACTGACTGACTGATGCATTGCCGTGCATGACGCATCATACATTGACATGTACATGGATATCAACATCATGTTAGACGAGGGCACGCCGCCTGCGGCCTGTCGTGATCGGTGTGTGTGCACAAACACCCATCACGATAGGCTGCAGGTGCGTGCCTGTCGTCTAACTTGGTCAACTTTATGTTAGTGTAAGCTGTTACCAAACCACGCAACCACTGACTGTAGAGAGCAGGCAGAGAGAGCGTCAGCTGGCTCTGCTGAATCACTGCACGCCATGTCGACAATCAACAGGCCGCCATCCATCCCCCCATCCATCCATCCATCCATCAATGCACCTCATGCGATGCATCCGTCTATCAGTCAGTTACTGAGTGCAGTGCAGTCAGTCACTGAGCTCATCTGATCCTGATGAGCGTCTCGCCTCGCCTGATGAACTTCTTCCTGCCGCTTCTGTGGGTCTTGCGCTTCATGTTGGTGCCCCACGAACGACGAATGGCGAACTGGCGCACACAGATAGCCGCCGGATGAGGACCCCACACCGGACCGCTGACACTCATTGTGGACCACCCGATAGATCTTGTCGATGAAGTTGCACTTGCTTGCATGGTTCTGACGGCTGTTTGTCGGCAGAAAGGTGGCATTGCCCGGCACGCAGCCATTGCGCTTGCGCCCCGCAGCAGTCCCGAGGACAGGGTTAGGGTTTTTGAAACCCTTGCGCCTTTGCGTTCCCGCGCCCTAGCTGCCCCTTCCGTCCAGCCGTCCCTCCTTCCATCAGTCGTTTCCCCCTCCTCCAGAACGTGTGCCTGGCTCCTGATCTCCCCTGACGATGCCGAAGAAATCTAATTTGCAGATCAGCAGCTGGAACTTCAACCCGCACCGAGTGTTGGCGAATGCGGACATGCGGCCGGGGACCCACCTCATTTGGCAGCGGTCAGTGGGGGGGTCCGAGGAACAGCTCAATGAGCACATCAATCAAGCCCTGATGCGAAGCCAACCACCACAACAGCCGGTGAGTGTGACGCACACGAATGCGTGATGCATCGACAGAATGAACGAAGAGCAGCACCGGCTGGCATCTGGCTGTCTGGCTGTCTGTGTGTGTACCGTCGCTCAGACTCGATGGCAGAGGTACTTCGCGAGGAACAAGGCATTGCTGGCGGCCCTGACGGTGATATTTGGGGGTGCGTCCGTGGTGATCTACCTGGGTAATACCTGGAAGCCGCCCGGCTTCACCGACAAGAGCAGGAAGCTCCGCAAGGAGATTCTCGAGCAGCACTTCCACGAGGTCTGACGGCTGCCTGCCTGCCTGCCTGGCGTGTCTGTCCACCCTCCTTGTTTTGCGGAGGGCTGGGCTGCGAGGGAGGGAAGGAGGGCTGGGGTGGGGTGGGCGGCTGTCCATGGAAGGCGGGGCGTGTGTATTGACTGTTTGCTGACAGACCTTTCATGTCTGGTGGGCTGTCTTGCAGTTTGAGTGTGTACAATCAGTCAGTGAGTGTGTTCCGTGTACCCTTGCTTTGCTGTTGCCACTTGTGCCTGCTGTGGGAGGGAGACGAGGCACACAGACACACCACAGCACCACGGGTGCAGTTGCTGCGAAGAGAGAGAAAGGCGAGATGTATCAGTTTTTGTGGGTGTGGTTGTAGTTGATCGACAGTATGTTGCAAGACCCTGCAACGACCACCCAAGTTTGTCAACTGTGGATTCACTCTGTAACCACAGCCGAATCAACGGTCCCATCCATAGTCACGCCATCACATGTCGGCTGACCCACACATCACTGACTGTTAATTCGCTCCTTTCCGCGTTGTATGTAAAACTCTTTTTGACGCTTGTGACAAGGATACACAGGTACGCCAGGCCACAGTCATCATATATGGGCGAAAAATACTCTCGACCAGCACCACAGAGGCACACTGAATGACTGTACACACGCAAATCAGTGTCGCATTAGGTCCATCGGGCCCCCCCGAGCCCCCACTGCTGCACGCCACACCTCTCTGCACACCAACATGCACTGCACAGACCCCGGTGAAGGCGTACTCACGATACAGCTGCATTGGCCAGAGGGAGAAAACCGCACCGAAAAGAGCGGGCCTACCACTGGTGGTGATACAGATGCCGACTCGGATCGAGCAGGAGGCACAATCACGCCACGAAGGATTGCGATAAGGCCGGCCGTCTGTCTGTCTTGTCATCGTCTGGCCGGCAGCACAGGCGGTGGGTTGTCGTGCTCCAGACGCTCGATGCCAAGCAGCTTGAGTGCCCACTTTTCATAGTAGGGGTCCGTGTCGCCCGTGTAGACCTTAAACAGGAAGTACTGCACGGCACGGCGGTGGGACACGCAAAGGAAAAAGATGAGGGCACGGCACCGACATAGATAGACACTACATTGTGTCTGTGTGCCTGTGTGTACCTTCTCGAAGGCGATCTTGGCGAGTTGCGCCCACTTGCCCCGGCTGTGCCACGCCACGTTCCTTGGTGGAAGCTGGGGAAGAGCCAGGAAGACAGCCCCTTCGTCGCCGAAGTCAGTGATACACAACGCATTGAGCGACGGGATCTCCTTGGCCTCCTCGCCGCACATCAGAGAACCTATGTTGTGTGCCGTTGCCGTACCCATCGTCTCTATCATGTAACTGACAGGCAGAGGAAGCAACACATGGAATGAATGAATGAATGAACGCGCTTTGGGTCTTTCCTTTCTCACCCACCCGGTCTTGGGTGCTCCCGTGGCGACCGGCGTGGTCTCGACGGGCGGGATGGCGGTAGCCACACCAACGACGAAGACATTCTTGAATGCGGGGTTCTGCTGCATGGCGTTGCACAGCACGCACCCCTTGGCGTTGGTCAGCCCCAACTCGGCAAGCTTGGGGTTTTTGAGGAACCCCACGCCCTCAAAGGGAGGAATGAAAACGCCATAATCGAAGGGGAGATCGTGCTTCATGGGCGGGTCGGAGGACGCCTGGCGCTCGGGCAGCTGCGTGAGATGGACTGTGTCGGGTGAAACCTCATCGATGTGGGCGTTGGTAATCCACTTGATGTCGCGCTCCCGGAACAGACTCTCAATCAGACCTGATGGATGACACAAACAACGAAACAACGATCTCTGTGCCCTCAGCTGGTCCCGGGCGTCTTACATGCGTACGTACCTTTGCTGTCGCCAACACCTCCCAATCCCAGGTGGCCCACATATGGTTCAGAGCTCACTGACACGCACGGAAGCGCACCAACGCGAGCATCGGATGGAAGGGATGTGCACATCATGGTGGTGCCTACCGTAAGTAATAGGGACGTATTTTCTCAGCTTCTTTTTTCGCAGCTCGTTGTCCATTATCATTGCGTGCTCGTATGCCGGCCCAAAGCACGACGCCCCCGGCGCTGCGCCAACCACTATAGCGCCCTTCTTCTCCCGGGCCACTTTGTCACAAAAGGCATCCCACTTCTCAGCGGCCTTTTCAGCGTGCTCGCCGTTGCAGATCGACTCCGTGTAGAAGGCCGGTCCGAGACCTTTCACCTGGTCAAAGGCCAAGCGAGGGCCTGTTGCAACCACCTGACACCAAGGCAGCGAATGCGAAAGCGTTTGAAGGCTGCCTGCACTGCCTTTGAGAGCGTGTGTGTGGCAGAGCCACGGCCGTAGCGATGCACCAGGTAGTCGTAGTCAATCTGCTGCAGGTCCTCGGGTGCCCCCTCGCCCATGTCCCTGACGTAGAGGCGGTTGTCGGACGGCTCGAGCCGCTCAACGCTCGCGTGGCGGAAGTTGATGCCCTTCCTGTTCAACACACTGCCCAAGTCGAGCCTGATCTCATCTTTGGTCCTCGTACGCACCGCTACCCTGGCACACAGGCATATCGATTGGCGGCAGCGAAACCATGAGTGTGTGGGTCACGTCACTTGGTGTGCTTACCATGGGCACGAGGGCGTGAATTCAAAGTACGGGCGGCTTGACAGGAGCGTGAGGGACACAGGGCGGCCATTGAGGGCCGCCTGGCGTTCCTTGACCACACCCATTATGTCGAATGCAGTGGACACGCCACCAATCCCCCCACCCACGACGACTATTTTGATGGGCTCCATGCCGCCAGCAACGTCGACAGGAGCATCAGGCGTCGCCACTGACGTCGACGCGCTGCTCGACAGGCGATGACGGACAGAGGGCCTCGGCACAATAGACGACTGCACACACACAACAGGGAGAGCGTGAAGGTTGCAAATGCAAGCATGCACGCACGCGTGACCCTCGCAGCACCCACCAGCAGCAAACCCAGCCTCACCTTAGCTGCGGGTGGTTCGCCCTGCGCACCACCGTCTCTGCCACGGAATCTCCAGGGCTGGTGATGCGATGAGAAGGATGGATGAGCAGTGAAAGCTGCCGTCGAGTGCCACAGTGTCATCACTGCCAAGCAGAATAGCACCATGCCGCCAGCAGAGTGGCGGGGCCGGTCAGTCTTGCGCTTTCTCGCCATCAGCAGGCTCTCTGGGAAGCCGAATGGAGTAAGCTGCTGGTCCAGAGAAGCCTGTTGGACTTGTTGGACCCGGGAAGAGATCTGCTGCTCTAAGCTCGCAAACGTTGGGACAACGCCCAGAGAATCGTTTCCGGGCTGGGCGTCGCTTTTCATCACTTCCGACAGCCCAAGTGAAGAACATCATCGCCTGATTCATCAAAACAAGATGGCGAGAGGAAGCCCTCATGTCACTCCCAGATCTGGGACGAAGATAGTAGGCATGCATTGCTGTTCGTGTGTTGTTGACAAGCCAGAGCTGGCCAATGGGGCCGACAATTCATCGGGTCGTGCCACACGTGTGTCGGTGTGTGGTGCAGGTTATTATTGGAGGCGTGGCTGGAGGGGCCACTGCGGCTGCTCGACTCCGACGCCTCGATGAGAACTGTCAAATCGTTATGTTTGAGCGCGGTGAGGAAAAAAAAGAGGCGGGCCGCATGCAGACGAGGGCCACTGACCGATCGGTGTTCGCGTTGCTTTTAGGGCCGTACGTGAGCTTCGCCAACTGTGGACTCCCGTAGGCACCAAGGGGCGGACACACGCACATACACAGAGGGTGTGGTGTGCTGTTTGTCTTACCACAGTTACTACGTGGGTGGCATCATCGAGAAGGCCGATGACCTGCTGGTGACCACACCCATGCGGCTGGTCCATCGATACAACGTAGGCATGACACCAGAGAGAGAGAGAGAGAGAGAACGTGGGTCGTGTTGACATTCAAACCGGTTTGTCTGTCTGTGTGTGTGTGTGTGGTCAGGTCGATGTCCGCATCCAGACGGAGGTGATTGGCATCGACGCCACAAACAAGACCGTCAAGGCTAAACACATCTCTTCAGGTACAGTAGGAGGAGCACCATCGGGACCAATCTCTCTCCATATCCATCCATCGTGCACTCACGTGTGTGTGGTCACCGTCAACCAGGCGAGATGTACGAGGAGACGTACGACTATGTGCTCCTGTCCCCCGGTGCCGAGCCGATCCGTCCGCCGCTTCCCGGCATCGACCTGGGTGGCGTCTTCTCTGTGCGGTCGATCCCCGACGTGCAGCGCATCGTCAGCTGGTGCAAGGACCCGTCGCGCGCTGAGCGCCTCAAGAAGGGCACTGCCGTCGTGGTTGGCGGCGGCTTCATCGGACTCGAGGTACACACACCGTGACCACCCTGCCGTGTGCATCAGTTTGTATACGGATGGGTTTGTTTCTGTGAGTGTGCAGATGGCGGAGAATTTGGACCATCTGGGCATGAAAGTCGTGGTGGTAGAAATGCTCCCACAGGTGGGCGGGTGGGCGGACACAGGAGAGGGCACGTGTGGCTGTCTTCCTGTGATGTGTTTCCCACCGTCTGTGTGGATCAGTTGATGCCCCCACTCGATTATGAGGTGCATGATACACACACCGACGGCACAGCCACTGTGGATCGGCGAAAGGAGGCATTTGTGCGTCGTGTGCTTGTGTTGTGTGTGCAGATGGCAGTGACGGTTCAGGAGCATGTCATTCGTCGCGGCGTGGAGTTGTGTCTCGGAGATGGTGTGGCTGGTTTTGAGCAGATCGACAACACTGACAGGTCAGACCATCTGCAGCCCACCTAAAGTGGCGCACTTGCGGATTCAGTGTGGCTATGTGTCCTTGGCAGGCTGACCGTCAAGACCAGCAGTGGGCGCGCAATTCCCTGTGATTTGGCCATCCTGTCTATCGGCGTCAAGCCTGAGAGCAAACTCGCGCAGATGGCCGGACTCAAACTGGTACGAACACGACACACCTTCGTGCAGCCAGCCTGTCTCTCCGTCTGTGCGTGTGTGGCTCCACCAGGGTTTCCGGGGCTCCATCATCACTGACGAGCGGATGCGCACGTCAGACCCTTCAATCTATGCGGTTGGCGATGCCGTGCAGATCAAGGATTTCGTCCTGAAGGTCGACACCCTGGTGCCGCTGGCTGGTCCCGCCAATCGGCAAGCCCGCGTGGCGGCCGACAACATGATGGGCCGAACGGAGAGCACCTACCGTGGGTGCCAGGGCACGGCCGTGTGTGGTGTGTTTGGGTGGACGCTGGCCATGACGGGCGCCACGCAAAAGACACTCGACAGGCACAACTACGGGTCAGTGAGGGTAGCACAATGGATGGATGGATGCGGCACAGCAACACGGACAGATGGATGGACGCAAGTGCGTGTGGATGGATGGTGCGGGCAGGTCCTACGGCTGTGTTTATGCCCACCCACTCAATCACGTCGGGTAGGAACAGACACACGATCCATTCATTCACTGACTGCTGGTGAGGGGGGCGCTGCTTGATGACTTACTGACACGTCAGCTACTACCCGGGTGCCAAGAGCGTCCACATCAAACTGGTCTTCGACACCAAGACACGCAAAGTGCTCGGCGCACAGGTGAGGGAGGGGGGGAGGGAGGGAGGGAGGGAGGGAGCGAGGCATGCAGATGGGTAGAGAGGTGCGGGATCTGCATATGGCCGGACGTCTGTGGGATTGCTGGTTGGCTGCTGCAGGCGTGTGGTGTGAGTGGAGTGGAGAAGCGCATCGACGTGCTGTCGACGTACATCCAGATGGGCGCCACAGTGGACGACCTGGCTGAGGCCGAACTGTGCTATGCCCCACAATATGGCGCTGCCCGCGACCCCATCAACCACATAGGGATGATTGCACAGAACTTCCTCGAGGGCGACTACGCGCCTCAGTCAACGCCAGGTGGGGTGGGGCGCCTGATGTGAGTGACCCCAAACCACTCCCTCACACACCATCAGCCATCTGGGCTCTGACGATGTTGTGTCTTCAGAGACGCTCAAGGAGGGTATCATCCTCGACGTTAGAAGGTGTGAAGACATCCACAAGGCAGCAAGCAAGAAAGAATGAATCATTGTCGGTGTGCGCGTGCGTGTATCGGTTGGTTGGCGGTATGTCCGTGTATGCAGCGACAAGGAGATCGACAAGACGCACGAGAAGATTGAGCACTCCATAAGGGTGCCACTCGACTTCCTCAGAGCCAAAATCGATGAGCTGCCCAAGGGCACACCCATACACGTACACAACACACCCACACACACACACACACAGGGGGCGAGACAGCCCTCGCTCAACTCATTCGTTCCTCTCTGTCGGCTGTGTTTGTCGTCCATCCATGCACGATTCAGACTGTGTGTCGGGCGGGCCAGCGTGCCTACGTGGCTTGCAGGATCCTCCGACAGCTGGGATACAACGCATCGTAAGC